ATATATATATATATATATTAAGAAATCTAACACACAAGGGAAATAGTAAGGCTTGAAAAAAACTTCAGGAAGTAAAAGATGATGTGTCCAAAACAGCACAGAGAAAACCAGAGCCCTGTCAAGGGAGTTGATGCAGTCTGAAAGCAGGTTTTCAGCCTCTTCTCTGGAAGCCAAGAGTCATAAGAAACTGAATAAAAGAGAAATTTACTGAAATTTTTGTTGTTTAGGGCTGGGAGACATTCTAGTGGGTGAGGATATTTGCTCTGCAAGCATAGAGACCTGAGTTTAAAACTCCGGCACATTAAGCTGGGCATAGGTACATGGGCCTGTGGTCCCAGCACTGGTGAAGCAGAGAAGGATAGATTCTAGGAGCTTTCTGGCCATCTGGTCTACCCAAAACGATGCGTTTTAGGTTCAGCAAGAACCTCAGGTACACACAGAGAGGGGAGCAGTCAGTGACAGATGAAGCCGTCTAATGTCTTCACGTGAATGCTGCACACACCACACCAGTGCACACATACCTTCCCAAACATGCATACCCCACCACACACAAAGAATTGTTTAAAAATTATGTTTCAAGGGCTTCATGAAATAACATGTGATGAAGGCTCACCGTTTATAGACTTTCATTATACCTTCCAAAAGGGAAGAGGTTTCTAAAAAGTTCTGAAATATAACCAGAAATGTTGGCGAAGCAATGATTAAAAGTGCACATTAAACAGAAATAATGAAAATATCAATAAAATGAACTTCTAGATTTACAAGAAGCAAAAACAAAAAAAAGTAAGCCTTATACTGTACTACCAGCCGCAGATGTTATGCAAATTTAAGTCAAATTAACTAGAACTTTCTGTTCTTAAGTCACACTGGCCACATGTCTGTCCCTTCATCACTGATAGCAACATTTAGTTAAAGGATTATAAATAAAATGGATACAGAATATTTTTATCACCACCCTGATTTGCCCAGTGTTTTGCTGAGAAATATACAGTTACTCTTTGAAGGGTCTGGTTACTTACAGCCGTGTATTCTTTAGAAAACTCTTTAGGAGACTGGCTATTTTTAGAGCTTTTTAATTACTAAACAAGGCTGATGAGATTTTATATCCAGGAAGATTAGAATGGCAAGGCAGGGAGAACTCAAACAAAGGAACAAAAATCAACTAAGAAAACAGAAGCGAGGGAAAGCAGAGCACGAATCCTGAGAAACAATCCCGAGAACATCTGTCACCGCAGCAAAATGTCAGTGCATCTGGCACTAAGGAATAAAAATTATTATTCTCTGACATTAAGATGTTTTGGTTAAAATAAAAGGTTAGTCAAATGCAATGATAATTTTTTTGTAAACAAAATTTTAAAACCTATCAAAAATTCAAAAGTTTGAGAAAAACTATAGCAACCAAATATTTTCTGAGGAGGAATATTAACAAGTTTTGGATTATGAATTATTTAATGCTGAGGAATGAAGCGTGCCTGAAGCTTGTGGTTTAAAATAGCAGCATCTACGTTGCTCCAGCACTCTGGTCGGAGCAGGGCTCTGTGGGGATAGATCCTCTCGGCATTCACTATTCATCACTCCGAACACTCAAAGTTAGCAGGAAGCCACAAACCTTCCAAGAGCTCAGTTACTCACACATCTGGCTGACTGAAGTGAGACCTTGGCTGGGGCCAACTGTCAGCTAGAACACCTGCTGTGACTTCTTCATGTGGCTTAGACTGCTTCCCAGGATGGCGAAGGCCTGAAAATGAGCGTTCACAGACAGATGGTCAGACAAAAGTCACTAGGCATCCCAGTACTTAGTCACACAGCCTGCTACAAGTTCCATCAAGTTTTAAAGGAAATCGAAATAAATGTCCCTTCTCGAAGGTAGGTAAAACACTATTCTGGCAGAAGTGGTACTGAATCTGCTCTGGCCATTTTTGGAAAGTAGTTGCAAATTTCAATTATTTACAAAATCCATCTGAAACTAGGAAAGAATGGATCACTTTCTGTTCTTATAGGTTGTTTACCTTCAACACATATACAAATACACACACACACACACACACACACACACACACACGTACTTGTAGTCAGACTTTCCCTTGGGCCATCAGAACACAAAAAACAACTCGGTGACTTATGAATTATGAAGCTCAGCCTTAGCTTAGGTTTGTTTCTTGCTAGCTCTTATAATTTAAAGTAACTCATATTTTTAAATCTATGGTCTTCCACGTGTTTGTATCTCATGTCCACTTTGCCCATCCTGCTTCCTTTGTGTCCAGCTTGCAACTTGGTCTTTCTTTTTCCCAATGCTCTCTCTGTCCAGAAGTCCCTGCTATACCTCCTGCCTAGCTATT